TCTCTCTCCCTCTCCCTTCCTCTCTGAAATCAATAAAAATATATTTAAAAAATTAAATAAATAATACATCATTTTGACTATGTGACTCAAAAATTAATTGACACACAAAACACTTGCTAAGAACAGTTTCTACATTTCACAGAATTTGATCCAGCACAACACATTATGTTCTCAATTACCAAGGAAAGAAGGACCTTCATCCTCAGAGTATGAAAATTTCTTTAAAAAAATCTCTTTTGGATAAAATTTTAGTTCTTCTCTAGTATACAAACTATCAACCCATTTCATCTTTAGATAACTGATGCACTTCTTACCCAAAATTATTTAATTATTAATTATAAATAAACACAAAATTAGTCTTTTTATTCTACTTACTTGCCAGCAAGACCTCCCCCAGGAGGCAAATTTGGGATATTTTCTGCAGACAACATGCGCATGACATGGGCAAGATCAGGCATTCCTTCCTCACTAAACTTCTCCATAATTTCTGTAGATTAAAAAAAAGAAGTTCTTAAATTAATGTGACAGCTCAGTATTCACACAGAATTCAAACAAGGTAGTATTTGGTAGTACCTTTGTTAAAATATAAAAAGCAAGCATTACCTGCTATCACACAAAAGCAAAAATGTGTAATATAAAAAGTTATTTGTATATATGCTCATTCCAGCATTATTCATAAAAGCAAAAACTGGAACAAATTAAATGCCCAACAATAAGGGGAAAATTCTGGTATAGCTAGCCACTAGTGAAATGCTTTATAATCCCTAAAAATTATCCCTATGAGCATAGTACAGCTACTTGGAAAAAACACTTTTCATCTAATTTTACATAAAAATAATATAAAATTACTAATACTATAATTATAGAAAAATAAAAGCAATATATGGATAAAAATTATAGAAAAGGGACAAATTTCAAATTGTCCTATAGGCTTTTTTATTTTAATCCTCACCAGAGGATATTTTTCCATTGATTTTTAGAGAGAGTGGAAGAGAGGGGGAAAGATAGAGAGAAATATCGATGTAAGAGAAACACATTGGTTGGTTACCTCCTGCACGCCCCCTACCAGGGCCCGGGCCAGGGAGGAACCTGCAACTGAGGTACATGCCCTTGACTGGAATCGAGCCTGGTACCCTTTGGTCCACAGGTCAACGCTCTAGCCAAAACAGCTGGGGTGCCTTATAGGCTTTCTGACACCTAAAGAGTATGTCCACAACAACTTATTTAAAATAAAGAAGCAGCCCTGGCCAGTGTGGCTCAGTTGGTTGGGTGCTGTCTGGTGCACTGAAAGGCTGCTGATTCAATTCCCAGTCAGGGCACATGCCTGGGTTGCAGGCTCAATCCCTGGTAGGGGGCATGCAGGAGGCAGCTGATCAATGTTTCTCATATTGATGTTTCTCTCCCTTCCTCTCTAAATATCAATAATAAATGAATGTATATAAAAGAGTATAAATTACAGAACTGCTAATGCTTAGAACAAAAATTAAACATTTACATGATCCATTTATATTTATAATTTATGGAAAACAGATTTTTAAAATATAAACTCCATCAAGAAATCTGCACCACCCAATCTGTAAAAGAATGTAGTTTTCCTATGGTAATTACACATTTGAAGACCCTCACCAATAATAAGCCAAATTCAATAAGCCTATCACATCATAATCATTATCATTCAAATGTATTTACTATTTTTTAAGTAAGTCAAGCCATAAAAGTGCTGGGAGAAAATATAGGTTAATATGTAATTGAATTGAGGAAAGAACTTCATAAGAATGACATCAAGGCAAAAAAAATATGATTGACATAGCTTCATAAAAGGTAATTTTATATCTTAAAAAAACAACACAAGTAGTTCTAGCCGAGTAGATCAGTTGGTCCTGATATGCCCAAGTGGCAGGTTAGATCCCTCGGTCAGGGTACATACAAGAAGCAACCAATGAATGCATAAGTAAGTGGAACAAATCAATGTTTCTCTTCCCCTCCCTCCTTCCTCTCTCTAAAATCAATAAATAAAAATTAAAAAAAAAATACAAAAAAACAAAAACAAAACGAAAACCCCAGCACATATAAAATCAAAATGCAGTATTAAGTTGGGGATCCTGTGATTATCTCTAATGCATTCTCAAGTTTCCAGGGTAACCACTAATTGAATTGTTAAATATTTTTTAAAGTTGATTTTGAGAGAGAGAGGAAGGTCAAGGGGGAGAGAGAGAGAGAAACATCGATTGGCTGGCTGTCTCTTGCAGGCCCTTGACTGGGGATAGAGCCCACAATCTGGATATGTGCCCTGACCAGGAATCAACAGGCAATCCCTCAACGCACAGGATGATGCTCAACCAACTGAGCCACACTGGCCAGGGCTAATTAAATTTTTAAAAGAATGTACAACTAATAAGCAAATGCAAGAATGAACTAGAATAGAAAATGGTGATTAATCCAAAAGGCAAGAAAGAATAAAAAACAGATGAAATATATGGAAACAAATAAGATGGCAGATTTAAACGCAAATATATCAGGAATTATATTCAAGCTTCTCCCCTCCCTTACTCCTGAATAATAATAGATTTTAAGCCCAAAAAACATTAGGTAAGGCCAAGCAAGGATAGTCTTACAGGGGTGGAGGTGACAGTGGTGACAGCAGCAAGGTCCAACCAATATGGGCTATCCAAGCCTGAGCACAATAGGCAAAGCTTTATCACTGGTTGGGGTACTACCTGGAATGGGGTTCAAAGCCAATGTGGAGCAAGGAAGGTATCTACACAAGGCCCAGGTCGGGACTTGTGGGAGGCAGGAGGCAACCAATCAATGTGTCTCTCTGATATCGATGTTTCTCTCTCCCTTCCATTCTCTAAAAATCAATGGACAAACAACCTCAGGTGAAGATTAACAAAAAGGTAGGTGAAAATTTGAGAAGAAATGGGTTATTAACATAATCTCAAGTACCTCCCCATTGAATACTTATTAATAAGCATAACATATTTATTTATTTATTTTTTTAAAGAAATATTTTATTGATTTTTTACAGAGAGGAAGGGAGAGGGACAGAGAGCCAGAAACATTGATGAGAGAGAAACATCGATCAGCTGCCTCCTGCACATCCCAAACTGGGGATGTGCCTGCAACCAAGGTACATGCCCTTGACCGGAATCGAACCTGGAGACCTTTCAGTCCACAGGCCGACACTCTATCCACTGAGCCAAACCGGTTAGGGCCATAACATATTTATTAACTTTTCAATGGAGGAACCCGAGAGACAACATCTCAAACAAGTGATGAAAGTTAAAATTACCATATCATCATGCATCTAGCTTCACTTCTATAGTATTTCTGTCAAAGTACAACCTGAATCTTATCAAGAGGAAACATCAGCCAATCCAAATTGAGGGACATTCTAGAAACGAACTAATCTGTACTCTTCAAAATATCACGGTCAGTAAAAACAAGAAAAACACAATGCAACTTTTTCACATTGAGGGAGACTAAAGAGGCTCAGCAGAAAAGTGCAGCACATGCTCTGGACTAGATCCAATAAAAGGCATTACTGGAACAACTAGGGAAATTTTAACAGGAATCTACAGATTAGATGGTAATATAATTTCAATGTTAACATCCTAATTTTGATGTATGTACTATGGTTAGGTAGATACTGTTCCTTTTTGCATTAAGAAGTAGAGGGTTAATATTATCTTCAATTACTCTCAATTGGTTCAGAAAATAATCTTTCAGAAAATTGAATCAATTAGGGGAAAAAGGAGGTAAAGCGAGAATGAGAGTGTATGTTATAGAAAGTATAGAGAGAGATGAGTAAAATGAGAGATAATGTAAACAAATGGGTAATCTAGATAAGAGGTACTACATGTACATGGGAGCTCTCTATATTTTTGCAACTTTCCTGTAAGTTTAAAATTACTGCAAAATAAAGTTAAAAAATAAAACTAATAATCTTTCACAATATCAGTGTTAACTCTATCAGTATGATTAAAACATATGGTAATGAATTCCTATAATTAACTTTAGAAGAATTATGATGTTAGTGGAATTATAGCTGAACTGAATTATAGTGGAATTATCATGAACTAAAGTTCATGATAACTTGAGGCCAATTACACTGGATTCTTCACTCATTACCAAAAATGTAATCAGGGAAAGCAAAAATAGTAAGCTTTAACAGACTCTTTTCAAATTATGTTTCTCTCTGGTGGTATAATAGACATATTTGTTTTCTCTGTGCCAAGAAACCCCCACACATTGGTCCATGATGTGATAGTAAATCTTATACAGATGGAAATTTTTTCAAAAGCTATTTTATAAACAAGGAAGTATACTTTTCCTTTCCTTTCTAAATTAAAAACAAACAAAAAAGGGCATCTTTCTTACCTTCAATCCGTGATTCCAAGTACTTATCCAACTCTGAATCTTTTCTCACTGCATTATCTGAGACCTTGGGGGCATTTGGAAAGCAAACTAGTACAATACTCATGTTATCGCGACTTCCCTATATATTAAAGAAAGAAAAATAATTATTTTTATAGTCTACCAACTTTCTATTTACTTCAAAGCAGTTAATTAAGCAATTACAGTTTAATCATCCAGAATGTACACATTTAACACATTTATTTTAATTCCAAAGAACTATTTGAAACATCCCTTTTTCTATTCATCATTCTAAAAACATTAAGTCAAAGGAGGCAGTAGGCTATTTCTGTTTGATAGTGGGGCGTGTCAACCCAAATGAAAAAAGCCAAGGCCATACCCATTCCAGTCTTTTCAGTCATTATGACATGAATCTAGGCAGGCATTGTTTGGTTCAGACTTTCCACCTTTTCAGAACCCAAACGACAAAGCAGAAAAGATAGACAGGCCTTGAAAAACTTCTGCCATCAACTCCTAATACTCAATGGAGCAAAGTTTGAAGGCAGGGGAGGTCAGATCTTGAGAAGACTTCAAAAAGAGTAAACCTGCTGGTGTGGCTGTGTTTGAACATCAACCTATGAACCAGGAGGTCATGATTTGATTCCCAGTCAGGGCACATGCCCTAGTTGGGGGCTTGATTCCCAGTGGGGGGCATGCAGGAGGCAGCCAATCAATGAATCTCTCTCATCATTGATGTCTCTGTCTCTGTCTCTGTCTCTCTCTCCCTCTCCCCCTCCCCCTCCCCCTATCTCTCTGAAATCAATAAAAATATACTTTAAAAAAGTAAACTCCCTCCATACACTCTCATGCTTTAGTAGGAAGAACCATCCTAAGTATATATTATCAGCTTCTCAGTATCTCCAAGGGTGGAGGGAAATCAGGATTTCCAAAATGGCTCAAACTACTTTCATTCCTTAATGAAACCCAACAAAACTTTCATGATTAATATTAGAAATATTGCATTGGCTGTATTAATACAAACACATACACAATGGTTTCAAATAGCAAAAGAGAAAGAGAGAAAGAGAAAGAGAAAGAGAGAGAGAGAGAGAGAGAGAGAGAGAGAGAGAGAGAAAGTCAATACATTCTTTCACAAGAACCAGGACTTTACTATGTAAGTTCAGATCAGGCAAAACTTTATACCATAGATATTCAAGTCCAAGATTCACTTGAATACTAATGATTTTTAAAGCAATTTTATGAATAAACAGAATACCTCATATTTTTAGAAATCCCAGTTTCTTCTAACTATTTTCTATTTTAGTAACAATAGTATGAGCATTGCTTAGCCATTCCTTATCTATCCATATATATATATATATATACACACACACACACACACACACACACACACACACATATTTGACTTAAAAATCAAATGGAAATTATTTATATATATGCCAATATATAAATATAAATAATTTCCATTCGATTTTAAGTTATACAACATACATCATATCCCATCAGTTGGAAAATTAATTGATAGTTTCAAGAAGTTTAAATATCCTAAGATATTTAAAGGAAATAATTTACATTTACACTTCAACATGTAATTTCAAAGATGCTGCTTCTATTTCTACATGAAGATAACTTTCCTCTAAACACAAACTATAAATGTGTCTCAGTAATTTTTATTCAGCAATTTAAAAAGATTCTTCCCTTTTGGTTTTATGCAAACCACCCTGCATAATCAGTTAATTTTCCAACTGACAGGATATAAGTATTCATCCTACATTTATAGCTTCATACTGTAAAAAGGCAATCCTGAAGAATGATTATCAAAAACAATACTAATGCTACTTAGTTTTCATGGTTGTGAAAATTAAATGAGTTTTTTAAAAGTGTAAAGTGTTTAGAATAACATTTGGTTCATAGAAAGTAATAATTTACTGATACTATTGTGATTATGATGATTATTACAATCTCCCTAGATTTCATGAGTTAACATATAAAAGTGCTTGTAAACTACTAGGACATAATGTGTTAGAAGTGCTAGAAAATATTAACACTTCATTTAAATCTATTATCATGGAAACATCTACTTAAAAACTGGATCTATTCCTACTGAGCAACCAACACCTACTGAGCAATTGCTAAGTGCTAAGCACTGGCCCAAATGCTTTCCATGGATTTAAAAATTTATATTCAATCTTTCAAACTAAATTCAAAGCAATTACATTCTATTTTAATCACATTGTTTTATAATATTGCTAACCCTTAGTTTTACAATACAAACAAGTGGAGTGACAAAATTATGTGGGTAGAAAATAGGAATGATTAAGAGGTTTACTTAACTCCCTAAGTAACAGAGAGTGGGTCATAAATCTGTATGTTTCAACACAAAACAGCTAACTAAACTTCTCAAAACTGATTTCAATTTGAGCAGAGTTTCATTCAAAGAACTATGATGAATCACGTATTCCAGCCTCTTGTCCCTATTACTATCATTTATGATTCATGAGATTCTAGAACTCTGTCTAGAATCTTTTAACACTACCAAAAGGCATATTTATCAGCTCAAACTCAAAGCTATCAAGTGAAGTATTTCCCCAGAATCATTTAAACTCCACGTTCAGAAAGGTGGGGTCAAAATTCCTGAAAACTAACATCCTTTCACTAAAAGGGAGAGTGTTGTTTATCTACAATACTTACAAACATGGAGATCTCTCTACAATATATTAAATGAAAAAGAAGATTGAGCCTTGCTGGCATGGCTCAGTGGTTGACCGTCAACCTATGAACCAGGAAGTCACGGTTAGATTCCGGTCAGGGCACATGCCCAAATTGCAAGCTCGATCCCCAGTAGAGGGCATGCAGGAGGCAGCTGATGAATAAAAAATACGTAACTCATACTTTTACTTGTTTTTTTCTTACCTGCTAGGAGGCTCAAAACTAAATTACAAACTTTACCTAGTCTAGGGTTCTGGTGTATCTTCCAACATTTTATGTGGCTCTTGATCTTTTGTGTATCTAGCACAGAATTATACTTATACTAGAGGCCTGGTGCACAAAAATTTGTGCACTCAGGGGGGTCCCTCAGCCCCTGTGCCCTCCTCTCAAAGTCTGGGACCCCTCGGGGGATGTCCACCTGCTGGCTTAGGTCCGCTCCCTGGGGGATCGGGCCTAAGCTGGCAGTCAGACATCCCTCGGCAGCCCGCAGCCCTCGGAGGATGTCCACTTGCCAGCGGGGAGCAGGCCTAAGCTGCAGTCGGGCATCCTTAGCGCTGCTGAGGAGGTGGGAGAGGCTCCCACCACCACCGCTGTACTGGCAGCCATCAGCCTGGCTTGTGGCTGAGCAGACCTCCCCCTGTGCTGACCACCAGGGGGCAGCTCCTGCATTGAGCATCTGCCCCCTGGTGGTCAGTGTGTGTCATAGTGACCAGTCATTCCCAGTCTGTTCCGCTGTTAGGGTCAATTTGCATATTACCCTTTTATTATATAGGATACGTCAAACTGCTTCATAATAAGATTTAAGACAGCGATTGCCAATGCTGAGAATTTGAATTAAAGTCACGTTCTGGCCTGGCTGGTGTGGCTCAGTTCAGTAGCTGAGTGTCGACCCATGAACCAGGAGGTCACAGTTCAATTCCCAGTCAGGGCACATGATTAGATTGTGGGCTAGATTCCCAATGGGAGGCATGCATGCAGAAGGCAGATGATCGATGATTTCCTCTCATCACTGATGTTTTTATATTTCTCTCCCTCTCCTCCCTCTCTCTGAAATCAATAAAAACACATATTTTTTAAAAGTCACATTCTGTATAGATGCTCTGCCACAGCAACAAGCCATAAAGTACTTAAATGACAACAAATACCACAGAAATTTATTCAACTTAATTTTCAAATTAGAAGGTTGAGGCAAATGAGAATGGCTTTAAAAAAAAAAGGTTTCATTTCTGCCGAAGAAAATAATTTAAAAATATGCAACCATAATGAAAATATTAAGTTTTAGAAATTTGTTTGCTTAATTTTACTTACCATGTTTTTTCAAAATTAATAGGGTATTTTAATTATAACAAAAAGACTTACATACCTTATGTAAACAAGTGTCCACTACCCAATTGCACACATTTTCCAGGTCATCAGATACCTCAAGCCTAGATTTAACAAAATCACAGAGCTCCTCATTACTCATAACATCCCAGATCCCATCACAAGCCAAAACGATAAATTCATCATCTTCTGCTCTTAAAAGTTCATAAACCTCAGGCTCTGGAGAAACTAGTTGTTCTGTTGGGCCCTTGCCATCAACACACTTGTAATCATAGTCCCCCAGAGCACGAGACACTGCTAATGAACCATTAACACGCTGTATCATTACGCTGCCTCCTGCATTTTGGATACGCTCCTTCTCCCTTGGATTGCAAGGCTTGTGATCCTGGGTGGAAAAGCAGACTTGTCCATTCCTACACAGAACAGCACGTGAATCACCACAGTTGATAAAGTAGACATGCTTCGGTGAAATCATAACTCCCACTGCAGTTGAACCACTCCTGTCCATTCCATTTCTGAGGTCTGAAAAGTTACGCATGAATTCATCAATTTTCAAAAAGCCAGTTCTGATACCATTCTTGACATTTTCCACTGAAGGCTCATGAGCAGATCCTGATTTTGCAGCTGCCCTGAAGTCTTCATTATTAGTGATGTGTTCTAATAAATGTGTTGAGCAGTAATTTGCCACTCGGGATCCAGCATGACCATCATAAACTGCAAAAAATGACCAGTCTTCCAAGCCGTGAGGAATACCTACAACAGCTGTGTGTGCGTCTTCCATTTCCACTCTCCATCCTTGCATGCTGCTCAGGCCATAACGTAAACCATTCCCAGCACCATGAGCATTATGTTTCTCAGTTTTGGGTTTATCCAAAAATGCACCCATGTTTAATAATTAATCTGAAAGAAAAAATTTTATAGGTGTTATATATTTAAATCTGACAAGAGAATTCACCTATACTATCTCATATATTCTCTAGTAACTCCTATCCAAGTATATTTTTCAGATTTATCTGAATTTACTAAACAGAAAACACACACACACACACAAAACAAGAAAATTTCCCTGCACATCCTTTTTCTACAACAATGGTTTCGAAATCCTAGCACATTACAATCATCAAACCAATTAAATCAGAATCTCTGGGGATGGGACTCAGATATCAGTAATTTTTTAAAGCATCTCTGGTGCTTCATATGTGCAGCAAGTTGAGAACCACAGTTCTAGGAGAAAGGAAAACCAAGAAACAAAACGTGGTTAATTTTTTTTTTTTTACACTAAGCAACCTACAAGGTTGTTTTTTCATAAATTTTTTTTTATAATTCAACTTATACAATAACTCTAGGGTTCAATATATAGCACAAGAAATAAAAAGTAATGCTCTCTTGATCAGATGAGGAAGAACAGGAAGAGTGTGGGTGTGTGTTTGGGGTACAGGGGTGAAAGTGGTAAATCTCATGTTCGGTAATGGGATAAATAATTCCTAAAACTGGGGGGGAGGGGGATCAACAAGCACATGATTTAGAGATTTGAAGATAAACTCCAAAGAAATTAGGAACTAAGATTTAGAAATGGTTGGTTCTGGTGAATCTCCATGGCCTTACAGAACTATGTTGTTCTTTAAACTATGTCAATGCTTATTTTAAGTTAAAAAGTTAAATTAAAGAAGCCTAAAGTAAAACAATAGCATATTACATGGTAAGATTTAAGGAACTGCATTTCAAATCATAAGCTAATCTCCCTAATATAAAGGTCCTATAAGAAAATGAGCCCTAACCGGTTTGGCTCAGCGGACAGAGCGTCGGCCTGCGGACTGAAGGGTCCCAGGTTTGATTCCGGTCAAGGACATGTACCCCGGTTGCGGGCACATCCCCAGTAGGGGGCGTGCAAGAGGCAGCTGAATCGATGTTTCTAACTCTCTATCCCTCTCCCTCTCCCTTCCTCTCTGTAAAAAATCAATAAAATATATTTTTTAAAAAAAGAAAGAAAATGACCAAGGTGATAGAAAAATGGACCAGAAACACCCCCCACAAATGGATCTTAAAATATGTCCAACCTCATATTCATAAAAGAAATGAAAATTAAGAATACATTGAGATATCAATTTCATGGGTCAAATTGGCAAAGATCAAAGGTTTGGTAATCATTTTCTCCATGAGATTATACAGAAACTCACACTGCTGATATCATTAAACTAGTACAATCTCAGTAAAAGGAAATTTCATAAAATCTATCCAAAATTGCAATTGCACATATTCTTCAACCAAATTCTAAGAACATATAGGTTTACTCCTATATATACAAATATTCACTGCAGCACTGTTAGAAAAAGTAAAATATATAAAACTATCTTAGCTAAGTGAAGTAAGCCATTTGGACAAAAATAAATATCACATGGTCTCACTCATTTGTGGAATATAATGAACATAAAATGAACAAAAAGAGCCAAAGAGAATAAAATATTTTAGAATATAATAGAAGTAATCCTATTATTTGCAGATTTTTAATATTTCCTACAACTTTTATGATATGTTAGTACAGTTTTGGTAATATTATATTTAAAATATTTTCTCTTAAAATATTAATGTTTAATGCATGTAATATTATATTTAAAATTGTTTTTCTTGAAATATTAATGCTTATTGAATGTAAATGGCTAATTATTTTTTATCTACAATCTTGTAATACATTTATTTTGTATACTGTAAAAATAAATAAACCATCTTAGTATCACCCATTTGGGAGATACTAAGGAGAATCAAGATTCATAGTTAATGATATATAGGTAAAACATAATAGCCTACAATTTAAAAATATATATATTTGTGAGCATGCACACAAATATACATATTCATTTTCTAGAAGAAACACAGAACTGGAACCTCTGGGGAAGAGAAGTCAAGAGGCTGGAAGACAGGAGTAAAAGGAATTCTATTATACAGTAGAGGCCCGATGCACAAAATTTGTGCAAGGGCCTTGGCCCCGGCCCCTGGCTTCCATGGCCTCGGGCCTCGGCCGTTGGGATACTTTTTATGGCGATGAAATTTAAACTGCAGGACAGATAAGAGAAATAACTACCTAAATAATTTCATTCTCTCTTTATTCCTTCATAAGTACAAATGACAGCTACTATGTCCAAAGGTACCTTTAAGTTGCTTGAATCCATCTCTATAGTACAATGGCAGCAGACTGCCAAGAGGTGTGGTCAGAAAGCAAGCCCTTCAGGGACAACCAGGTGACTATCTGAGAGGGCTAATGTTCCTCTCACCTCTTGTTATTTCAATTGATTTTTGCTCCAGAGGATCATTATAATAAGTAACCAAAATATGCTTTTATCTTGTTTGAGGCACTGAGGAATAAGCAAATACTTCCATAGTGCTCATTCTGTGGCATGCACTGCTTAAATGCTTCACAAATATTAACTCATTTAAATTCTACCCTTTAGAAAAATTAGTATCAATAAAGCAAACAATTCTCAAAGAAATATTCAGCCAAAAATCTTTACAAAGTAAATTATTAAAATTTCAAAAAAAGGACATTCAGATACTACAAAATTCCCATTCTCCTTTCTACAGCTTGCACACTTTTCTAAAGGAGCCACATGGACATTGGGCAAGCCTTGCTTAAAAAGAGCACAATCTGTCAATCCCATCTGCTTCCTATCAAAAAGGATGAAGTGGTGTCAGGAATGATTTAGGCCTATGGACAAGATTTTTTCCTAAGGGTTTCTGTTCTTTTGACTAAAAAGTAACATATATAGCAATAATAATAGTGCTTAGGTTTTTTTTGTATGAGCTCTGTAAGCCAGGGTTTATATTAAGAGATTGATGTTCATTATATCATTTACATCAAACAACAATTTAGTAAAGTTAGTACTATGAATATCTACACTAATATAGAGAAAAATGCAAATTGACTATACCTTCACGACACCCATCAGCCAATCAGGAGTGAGTATGCAAATTAACACAACAAAGATGGCAGGTTAATTTGCATACACAGACGCCGAGCGGCTGGGGGCGTTCCACACAGCCCCAGCTGCTCAGGGCCTCTGGGCAGCATGGGAAGGCAAAGGAAAGAATGCAGAAAGGTGGCTTCGGGCCTCTGGGCAGCGTAGGAAGGCGGAAAGGCGGCTCCGGGCCAGAACAAAGGCAGAAAGGCGGCTCCGGCTGGAGCGAAGGCGGTGCCGGCAGCCAGGGGAAGGATGGCCCATTCTTGCACGAATCTTTGTGCATCGGGCCTCTAGTTATACTAATTTGTGCACCAGTGGGACCCCTCGGCCTGGCCTGCAGGATAGGCCGAAACTGGCTCTCTGACATCCCCCGAGGGGGTCTCAAATTGTGACAGGGCGCAGGGCAAGCCAAGGGACCCCACCAGTGCATGATTGGGGCCGCGGAGGGATGCAGGAGGTTGGCCAGCCAGGGAGGGACCACAGTAGGGCTCCAGGGCGTGTCTGGCCCATCTGACTCAGTCCCGATCAGCTGGACCCCAGCAGCAAGCTCACCTACCGGTTGGAGCGCCTTCCCCCTGGTGGTCAGTGCATGTCATAGCGACTGGTCGACCAGTCAACTATCTGCCCCCTGGTGGTCAGTGCACATCATAGCGAGCGGTTGAGCGGCCTTAGCATATCATTAGTATATTATGTTTTGATTGGTTGAACGGCCAACTGGATGATCAGACACTTACCATATTAGGCTTTTATTATATAGGACTAAGAAAACTGAAATACCTAGTGTACCCAGATAACAAAATTTATGTAGCAAGTCATAATTCAAACAAAAGCAATAGCCTAGAATTGGCACTCTCATCTCACGGCTTAAGTGATTAATGCATTTTGAAGCATTTTTTATTCTTTTTAAAAATCAAAATAGTAATATACAAATGTTTGCAGATTCAAAAAGCAAGGGTACCAAATGTAATGTGGTACCCAGATTGGACCCTAGCACAGAAAGAGAATAGAAAAACTGGTAAAATCCAAATAAAACCGGAATCGATGTACGTCGTTTCATGGTTATCTTGCCATCTCCCATTTATTTATTAAAAAAAAAAAAAAGTTCCATCATTTCAATGTGTGTACATATGTGCTTTATGTTTTTTATTATTTATTTACCACAAGTAAAGGTCAGGAATTGTTATCTGTCTTTAAAATTTTTTTTACTGTTTCACTTCATTACTGCTGTGTATGTGCTCCATGTGAATGACGTAGGTGCTTATGCAGGTGGGTTCCCACTTACGGCAAACATCGCATTACGTCGAGCCAAAGGAACAGATTTCCGACGTAACCTGTAACCCGAGGACCTACTGTAGTACAAATAATGGTTTCTTAGTTTAGACAAATACACCATAGTAATGTAAGAAAACCAGTATAGAGGGGTACCAGTATAATTCTATACATCTAGAATTATTTCAAAATTAAAAGTTTATTTAAAATATTAAAGTAACAGGTAAGCCTCAGTTAGGAAGAACTTTATACCAACCAATATGGTGCAAGGATTATAAACTGGCTATGGAAAATCTCTCTACCTGTGATTGTGCCAATCCCAGCTCGGAAACGCATCCTAAAAAATGCCAAGATTATATAATAATTAGAACTCTGACCCAATATTATACTTCTGAGAAGTTATTCTAAATAACCCAAACTGTACATAAATATTATTTAAAAGATTAAACAAATAGAATACATCAGCATATTTTTAAATCTTTTATAACAAAACAGAAATAGAAAAATGGTTATATATTTGGAAATCAGTAATGTAAAATTCACCATAAAAGATCAAAAGAGAAAAATCTTTGTGCATAATGATATTCATTAGAGTGCTACTTATACTGAAAATAAAAATAATTTGTATTTCTAACAATAGAAGAATGGAGTAAATGTATAACTGGTTTCTCAACCAGG